ATTCCTTACAAATCCGTTGACACAGTTTAATATGAACGAGGATTCTGAAGAATAGGTGGCTGAAAATCTGAGGAAGTCCCAAGTCACCTACCCCTTGAGACATTCTCTTGCAAACTTACAAAAATACAGCCCGTTTAACGTGATCCTTGGGGACCTTTTTGACGCCACAATGAACAAAAATTGGCAAACGTGATTCAGGCCTTCGGGATCCGTACAGAATTCATCTGACTTGCGTCAGAGTTTATGCCGCTGCGGAGGTCTGTGGAATTCTTCGCAGCCTTCTTGAAGCTCAAGAGCAATGTTCGGGGGCTGCAGTTCCGAAGCATGTCTGTGCGGTGCACATACCGAAAGATGATTTGATGGCGGTTAGCTCCTGAGTTTTGATTTCGTCCTAGAAGATTAGAGCAAGATTGCGTACCCCGCTTAAGAGATATATGATGAAACACCCTTCGTCTTCGGTAGGTAGTCTTTGAACTGAGTACATGGGACAAAAAATTGGTATACCATGTATTTTGCATTTCGGGTCAAAATTTCCGTGGATTCTACAGCTGACGCAACTCACCGTTCTGCCCACAAAAGCTTGCCCTTAATCGTGCTCCTGATCAGTCGGAAATGTTACTCAAAAACAACACTGAGGCTTTATCCAGCGTGGTTAGACCACACTTCTGTTTGGCCGCTCGTGTCCGAACTACTCATCGAGATATCGCAGGTTTGGAACTCCATGAATTTTTTCCCAGGTACATACTGCTCAAGATCCCCAATAAGGATGAAATTGACGGACGGTGATTCTCGTCTTTTGAGTTAAAGGACGAAATATCAATTAAAAGTTTTAAGATCTCACGTTACCAACGTTCAGTAGAGTAGTCCAGAGGAAACATTCACGGTTAAGTGCTCAAACTATTGGCCGAAATGTCGCCCTGTCGAAACTCCTCGGCTGCATACCGTTTCTGATTCTCAGCTTTTTCCGCATAGATTGAGTCTTCACTTACAGAAAAAACTCGATTGAGGTGTTACAATCACAAATTATGCAGTGTGTTTGTCAAATGCTGCCCGTCAACTCCAAATGGCTTGCTGACTATCACTGCTTTCAGGCTAGCAGATAGTTTATTTCGAATCTGCCTAAACCGTACAAACCCTACGGGCTCTATAAGGAAGTTGTTTCCAGTCGGGCGGGCTTCAGTTTGCCACTACACTTCTTTTTATTTACCGTACCTCACTGTTGCTCCAACTCGCATTTCGCTGCTTTCATTCTCTAACTATGCATGGGGAATTTCCCAGTCACGTTATCACTGCATCGCTCAAGTACGTGACACACCTGTTGGACAACCTAGTTAATAGCCAGTCGTTCTCACACGGCCATTGATCGCGATCAACTGGAAATAGGGCTTATTGGAGCATTTTCCCATAGGATGTAACCATGCGCGCACTGAATTTTTTTCTTGACCGTGCGCTACCTGTTTTGCTCAGCAATATATGCATCTGTGCAAACAAATTCGCCCTGCATTACGGAACGCAGATTTAGAAGTCCTTTGGTGAGAACAGGGAATATCATTTTTGAAAATTTATCGGGTTTTTATCGATAATCACTCTATTCCGGTCGGTTGTTCTCCAAGAGTCTCGGTGGTGGCGAGCAGTGAAATGAATATTTACATCACTTCTTTTCTAAGGTTGCTCGCACTTTTGGCACTGGCCAAAATCACACTCTCTTCAGAGGGTGTGCGTTTTGAATCGTACTTTTAGAGTATTCATCCGCACAGCTGAGGTAGACATGAAGATTTTCCTAGTTGAACACAGTACTCCTAAGGTTGCTGAAGGTTTTCGAGGTTCCGTGTGCCTTAAGTTCTACTTGGACACTGAATTGGAGAGATGCACGTATTAGCAGACTACCTTGGTTTGATGGAGAGGGTCTCAACTGAATCCCAGCTGAATGTCCCCTTTAGGATATTGGGCAATATTAGCAGACTACCTTGGTTTGATGGAGAGTGTCTCAACTGAATCCCAGCTGAATGTCCTTTAGGATATGTCCTTTAGGATATTGGGCAAATTGTCTGAAAGCAAAGCTGGTTACAATCACCATGTCGAAGAATTTCGAACCCGCGGCCATTCGGCCAGTGGTTGAACACTTAACTGCTTGGCCACGAACAGCTGAACATAAGCGTGTTCAGCTCTCACCGTAATCTCACCGCCCATTTAATAGGAATGGTCTTTTTCAGTTTCAACCCATTACTCATGCAAGCTACCTCACATACCGACGAGCAGAAGCATTATTTTCCATTCTTCCCTACTTGTTCCCCGATAATTCTATGGAACTTGCAGGCAGATACTTTTCTGTCCGAACCTGTGCTTAAAACACCCAACCTCTTCACCGTTTTGTCATCGTTATTCCCCCCATCACACTTTCTGCAAACCGAATTATCATGCTCATAAAGCAACATTGAAGAATTATTGTTATTCTCCATGAAATCTCCCGTTTGATTGCGTCGTTGTCAGTCTTCTGAACTCGATTCACCATAACTATCTAGCTTGATCTGTGGTGAAGTTACCTGGACGTCATCCAACTCCCTGGACTTTGGAATGCATTCTTTTAGACTGGGCTCCCCTGCTTCCTTCTCGTTGCTTTGTGTTTGTGTTTCGATAAGGTGTCCCACCTGGACGAACTGACTGTTTAGAGTGCATTTCAGTGAGACTACAGTTCGGCTGTCCAACGCTACACATGAGCAAGATGGTTTTGATCAGTCGCAGAATGATGGCTTGTCAAAGTCATTCTCTGAATATCGAGTGAACCTCAGGGTCCCTGAGTACTCAGTGGATCAGTCAGCTGCTTATTCCAAAGATGGCATGCACAACTTCTGGTTCTGTTACAGCGTGCCCTTGTGCTCAAGCACAAGCTGTGGGTTGCAGAGGTTTTTTAGTGAGTGGATCAGTCAGCTGCTTATTCCAAAGGTGGCATGTACAACTTATGGTTCTGTTACAGCCTGCCTTTGTGCTCAAGCACAAGCTGTGGGTTTTGAACAGTTGCAGAGGTTTTGTATGAAGCGCTGGTTTGGGCTTCATCCTCCATCTCAATCGATCCATTACATCTTGCAAAACTAGCTTCCCATTGCAAATGTAACTAGAAGCCATCGATCCGTACTTGGGTCGACGAGTTTAAGGAATCTGTTAGCCCAATGTATTTCGGTGGTTCTTCAAGACGGAGTTTGACTGTTTTCGTTGACAGAGTGAGTAAGAGACCAGGTTAAGACATTCTTTTTGGGTTTACTTTCTTTCCCCAATTACCGTTCCAACGAGTCCGTTATCTTCAATTCGATCTCCGTGTGAGAATTTGGTTGGCCGTCTATTGGTTACGCCTGAACTTAGCCTGCCGGACTACGCGATAAGGAGAAAATAGAGAGCCCGGGACACGGCTGTATTGTCAGGACAAACAGAGAGCTTCTACGTTAATACACAGGATAGCTAAATGGTCATTTATGTTCGTTCACTTGTTCGTTCTATCCAACCAGTGGCGATGTTCTGGCCCTGAACATTTTCTCACTCACTTCACCAGTTGCATGATGCTAAGGCGTTTTAGTAAGCTCCATCCAAGCACCTGCTATCCGGAACGTGTGGCGCCGACGGCGACCTTTGCGACGCGTCGTCCTCTGCACATTGTACTTTTCATGTCTGGACGCTTTCTGATCAAGAGCAAGCCGTAAAACCGCAGTCCGAACCTCCGCGGGCCGTGGCATGGTGCCTCGACGAATCTACCACTATTAGACGTATATTCAATGATCCTTTGACGAAATCCAGCATCGACTCTGGTTAAATCGTTGAACCCCACCCGAAGACCCACTCATGACTTGTTTATTTATGCAACAGCTACAAACGCTGAATCCACACAGTCTGTTCAATGTCTCGACGCATGAGACGGGATCTGCTGCCCTAGTAAATGAACCTTTCATGGATAACTTTTGAATTTGAGGTGTTTAGAAAGGAAATCTACTTTCACCTATATATTCTCGTGACTGTCAATTGCTCTGAGCATAAGAGTTTTATATTGGTCCTATTGTGTGTATCAGACAAACATTTTCCACGCACACACGCACGCGCACCCTCCGCAGGGTTCCAATGATGTGCTTGTCAAAACAGTTTTCTCATTTCCTTTCTTCTGGGCGTGGCTTCATGACTCAACTAGGCATTCGACTTTCATGTATCGGTATCTCCAACTGATGGAATTCTGTCGCGCTGTTCGTTTGATTGCAGCGTCATGTCAAATTGTTCTTCCGACCGTCGGCCGACAATCTGGAGAGCGGTGCGCATGTCGAACTTTGTTAGCATGTCAATTGTGGCTTCATCGCCCATTTCTAACTTCTCTTCCTCCGCCGCCTTTTAAACACCTGTTCCACAATGTTCATCGGCTTACTTACCCCCGACACACCGGAAGGGAAAAGGATAGACCGTATCTTGTCAAAGGTTGACACTTAAGACAACGTCCTGAAGTTGTTTCTTCCATTGTTGTATTAGACGTTTACGTCTCTCATCTATTATAAGACTTAGACTTGTGTAGGTTATCGTTCCACGACCTTGTGCAGTGTGGGCAGTGTGGATTTGCACTTGGAGGCTGATTTAGACTATCGCATTTAGCCGATGATCATCTGCCGTTTGAATTCCTACGAACTATGCGTATACATCTGAGAAAAATAGGAAACTATTCCATAGTTCTCCATAGTCCATAGTTCCATAGTCGTTACTCAACACCGGATCACATGATACACAGCGCGTGTTTGGTGGATCAATAGTGCCTTTGCCGGTAGCTCTGTATTCCACACGCCCATTTGTACATCTGTCCTTTAACTTCATATCCACAAAGTTGACGGAAACTCAGAAGCCGTGCCTGCCTGATGAGCCGCAAGTAGCACGAGACCGGTAGTGAGCTGTCGAAGCGTTTTCAGCACCCACATGAGTGGTATACTCTGTCGAGAAAACAACATTTCTCATGTTTTGTCATCTCCCTGTATTCACAGGTATTCTTCACATTGCTCACGTGACCACGGATGATGAAGGTGCTTACTATTGCTCGAATGGGAACTGGACCTCGTCAGTCATGTTGAAGGTTAAGCGTAAGTTTTCTACTGCTTCACAATTTTACTTTATTAGTATTTAAGTCACCAGGTTTATGGGAAACATTATAGACAGTGCTTTGGGGGGTAATTAACTCCCCAAATTGTGCAATTGTCGTGCGTCGATAACATACACGTCCGTCAAACGTGCTGCCTTCACCGTGCTCTGCTATGACGGACCAACCATTCTTGAGAGAAATTATAAAGAAATATCCCACGATGACGCAATTATATTTACTTCTTGTGCTCTTTCTTCGTAGTGTTACTCCTTTTGTGTGTTAGGCTTCTTGTTTCTTCCCATTGTAACACGATGCGCGTTCGTTCCTTTCACTGGCTGCCTATTTAAAACAAGTAATGTTTTTCAGTTAGTCGTTAGCGTTCTTTATCAAAATGAACACATCTTTGGTAATCTCAGCTGTTGTATTCTTTTGACTCATTGCTGTAAGTTCTTTTCTGAGTGTTTAGAATTCATTTCTTGAAGTCTTTTGGATAACTTTTGTGGTACTGTTCAGCTTGGCATCGTTTTCCTACATAGCTGCCGGTCAACTTTAAATAAGTAGGGGGCTGAACTTCTGTCGGATTTCCCGAGCCCGGAACTCAATTTTGAGTTAGAATATGACAGTGTTCGAGTGGAGCGTAGTCCCAGTTGGGAAGTGGAAACTGCTCTTCCAAGAAGGAACCCATTCCCTCGAGCTTTTGAATTGACCGGATTCACAACTTCGTATGTGAACTCCTTCAATAGCGAGCAGCGGGTTACCTCTCGGTTTTATATCCTGTAACTCTGCAGGTGAGCTTTTACAGTTGCTGTTTACGCGGGGTCTGTTTGTGGTGAATGCTTGAGGTTCCTATAGATTCAATGAATTTGCCTGGCACAGATCAGGAACCCAAAACTGCGACATGCTTCAACGGGGCAAGCATGATCCTTTGGGGATCAGTTCATGTCCACTTGGCCTCCTGACTCAGGGGGTCGCTCTCCCGGCTAGTTGATCTTACGCCATAGTCGTGCGCAATCATGTGGATAACAGCTTGGTGTACAGTTGAGCGTGGTCTCTAGCATACCAAGCCGCATTCTTGCCGTTTATCGTACAGTTCTGCTTTTAATTGAAGAAAATATTGGTAGCTCAGATTGTAATGATAGCCGTTCGTTTTTTTTTGCTGACCTGAGAAACTTGGTCGCAAACGTATCATCGCAACTTGAGATGACGTCACCAGTGGGTTGATGCAGGAAGTGCGTGGTTTTTGGGTCTGCGTGGATTGATATACAGGCTACTCACTCAAGGTGACCTTGATTGACCATTGATCAACAAATGACCATTCTTATTGGTATGTCAGTTGTTGACCTGGCTTCTTAATGATGGGTATCAGCGCAGCCTTGCTGACATAACCTCCAGTGTTTTCCCCTCCTTGGCGTTAGTTCGTTTGCCTCCACAGTGGGTCCTTTTTCTTGGTTTGCTGGTCTGATGGCCACTAATTTGGCGGTCCTTCGCTCGTAGCGGTGCGTAGGCAGGGTCGATTCTGATATGCCGTTTGATTGAATTCTTTTCGGAGTACTTCTCGGAGTGCTTCTAGGAAGTTCTTCTCGTCCCTTGTACTTCCGCTTGTCACGATCTTTGTGTTTTCTAGGGTAAACTCGTGTCTTTTCTAATCTTCATGTATGGAAATAATAGACGATGGATCGTGTCTTTTGATAGCCACACTTCTTTCTTTTCTTTTTCCGTGTACAAAGGTTTCTTCCAATATGTTGAGTATGCTACTTGTTGCAGCCCGTGCAGTTGATTCCATAAAAAATGTCCTTTCTTTCACCTTCTTCGGTTTTTTTCGTTAGTCTTGAGATCATTTATCTCAATGTAGTGGCTGATTTCGCTTGAAATAGCCTTGCTGTGAACTCAACATATCTTGATGTACGGAAGAACTATCCTTTAGTTTGGTTGGCCTCGATATTCCCGTCGTTTTCGCAACTTCTGAGGAATTCGTTATTTTGAAGTACACAATAAAGGTTCCTCTGTGCTGAAGTGTATCTCCACTCGTTCGAAGAGAGTTTGAATGCAACTCCTCTTGTGGTGGTGGTAGTGGTTAATTTCGCCTAGTATTCGGTCGATGTGTCTTTCAACCTCAACACACCGTTTTTTCATCTCGCCTGGTGATGTAACTTTCGTGACCGAAGAGCCCACTTCAGCCAAAAAAACCAACGCCCGTAGCCAACGGCTTACCAGTCATCTCAGAACACCACCAAACTAACTTTACTCTTTAGGAATGGAAAGAAGTATTCAGCTTGACTAGAATGTGGAACATCGGTGACAAGCACATTTCTATGCACAGATCTTTACCCACCTATTAAATCATCGCTGTACCATTCGATTCGTTCCTATGATAAATGGAAAGCATCGGGGTGGTCACAGAAACAAGGACCGGTTGTCACATTTGTCTTTCGGTTGATTTGTTTTCCCGCCTATTCAACCAACCGCAAGCACCAAAAACAAGGACAGTGGACCTATTCTTCTGTCAGGGTACTCTGCTGGTTTGTTTTTCTCGTTTTGCTTTTTCATTGCGCTGATGTATATAGGAAGAATGGAAGGACAACTATTGTTAGAATGGAGGAATTTCGGCCAACCTTATCACTGGCTATCGTGAACTAATCGCCAACTATAATCTGAAATGTGAAAGGTTATTGCTCAACTACTCTCTCCGTTTACACACGAATTTGCGACTCGACCGAATCCATCTGAATCTTCTGTTGATAATGGTTCGCTTCAACAACCTTATGAATAGTGTGTTACGTTCGGACGAGAATCATAACACATTTACTGCATACGGACGTGATTTCCTCGTTACACTGCATCCGTTACATCACTGGATTTCAGGATTGTCTGCTCTTCTGGAAGGTTTCTCTACACTGGATGGCTTGTTTTTCTTAAAGATCCATCTGAAAATAACGACCTTTTGAGGAGGTTCTATTGAAACAAGGCCCGGATGACTAACCCAAGTAGGGTTCTTTAGACGTGCATGCGCCCACAGTTACTGTGTGTGGGCTGTACATACAAACGGAGGCGCGTGAACTACAACAGCAGGACTCTTGCAATGGAGGGAGGGGATCGTTTCGGTTCCTAATACTGAGCCGCTCTACACTTTTCTGGACAGATTGCCTGTTCTTCCATACACTTGAACATCTTGTTCAGAATTGTAGGGTTTTTAATCGAGGATGGTTTTTGCAACGCCGTTGTTCATTGAACGGTGTTTGGAGGATGTCCACCCGAAATTCGCGGCTTCACACACGAAGTTTGATCATGCTTCACACCGTCGTTGTGCGTGGACCACTTGTGCCGACGTGGTGACTGTTTTCTACATTCTTCAGACCAAACTTTCGAGCCGAAGTCTTAGGCTGCGATAACTTGTCGTCCTCGTGTGTAGGTTTAGTTAGTATCCTAGCGCATATACAACGACGAACTTCATGCGTAAGCTGAATTTTACAAACTGCACTATTGTTTATCTTGCTCTTCCTAGTTTTCCTATTGGTATAGATCACATCACGCAAATAAAAGCCTCTGAGGCTATGATACTCGGAATAGGACAGTTTAGGTTACCTTAGAAGGTGAAAATGACCAGCAAGGTTCCTGGGGTTGTTTTTTCGTCAATTAAGCTTCTCCGGCCTTTTGGCTGACTGCAAAACACAAGTATTCTCATCTGGTACTGTTGTCAATGTTGATGATAATGACGCTGACGGACTCAAATGAACAAACACGCAAACGTTCTACCTACATGCGTTTTCACACTAGAACACAGTGGGAGGCCGTCAGAACAGACAGTTTGTTCTTTTCAGGTGGTAGTGATACGTATGTAGCTCTTTTTTGATCAGATGAGGTCAACAGCATGCAGTTAATTTTTCGAGCATTGCTTGATTTTCCGTGAGACAACGCACCCCGTTCGAATGCCAGCGGAGCACGTAACTTCTTTCCGGTTGCCATGACGATCAGTACCTGCTGGTAATTACATCGGAATACCGCTTCGCCCCACACGCTTCAACTGAACCCTGGATACATGGTGAGCTAATACACTTGTGGGTCGTGTTGTGTACGACAGAAACAAAACTTGAAATGTCAGCATTCGACGGTGCCCGATTTATGTTAAGTCGCTTTGCTTGTTGGTCTGTCAACTTTTCAGTGTAACAGCGCAAGAGACCGGTTGGACGCGGATTTAGTTATCGTGTAAGCCATGAATTAGGTGCGTCAAAACGGATGCGAATGCGAAGGGCACGTTTTTATAGACTTTATGGAGCTCAGTGTTGTGGAGCGCTATCAGGACACAACAACATAGCCATTACCTGACCTGCTGTGGTTCGTTCCCACCCTCCACATTGTTGTGCGAAAAGAGCTTTCCGAGGAAGTTGGTCAACTGGGGTATGGGGCACGTAAACAAGCCAGCGCAGTCTACGGAGCTTGACCAGTTCATTTACCCTGGTTAAGCTATTTCTTCCGAAAACCCTTCGGTGTACTTCAACGTCCCTGATCCGACGTTCCCACTACCTTTGGTCAATGCGCCAAAGACATCGATGGTCAAACAGCGAAAGCTTTTTAAAATCCTCAGCACACAGTGGCCAAGTTACTGATCTATATGCAGCGCACCCCAGCAATGTAAACTCAACCCATGATAGATAAGCTGATGTCACGCCTGCGCCACATGTGATGCAGGTTCACAACTGCTCTGGCTTCCCCAATCCGGATAAAGTTATCGTTTCTGGCTAAACCGCCGCAGCTGATGCGCTGCCAAACTAGACAGATTTATCTATTAACCCAATCCACTCATGTATGAAACATTAGATTCGGGTTCGAGCTCACCCAGTCTTGCAACAACATTGCATTTCGTAAGTGTAAAGTGCATGTAAGACCGTGGGACAGGATCAGTTAGATTGGGCGGGACTGCCCAAGTGGTTAGAGCGCGAATTTACTGACCGGAAGGTTCGTGGTTCGAACCCGACCTATACCTCTCGACTTCCCCTGTCTAGG